ACTCAGGGTAACCTGGCTACTGTCTCTTATACCCATCTAGATGTGTATACGCGTATAGGCCTAATGTTTGTAAACAGGTTTATATTCTCTATGGATTATTATTATATATAGGTGCATGCCTTGTGTTCTTTCCTTGATAGTACTTCAGGCCTATGTAAATCTTCTAAACAATTCTTTAAAAAAAATTCAATTTATATTTATAGGACCTATAATATTTTTTTTCTACACAAATCTTTTAAAAAATGAAATTAACATAATATTAATAAATGAACTGAATGTTACGGCCTTTCACTTTAATATTATACTGGTTGATGCAGGATATGATGCTCTTGCAGTTTGTATTGTTTTCCTGACGAATGTTTTTAGTGATGAGTGAGATGTAAATGCAATATTATCGTACTCGCGCGAATAAGTGCCCGGGCGCTTAAAATATTTGCACTTTTTGAGGGGCGCTTATTCAAACGGGGCGCTTAATCGAACGGGGCGCTTATAAAAACAGAGTGAAAATTGAGGGGGCGCTTATGGAAATAGATGAAAATCGAGGGGTTCTTATGAGAACTTATTAAATCCAAGAGGCACATTTTGAATGAAAAACGATTAAATAAGGACATCAGGAAACCGCAAATTACGAATGGTGCTGCGGCGGAAAAGATAATACGGTCCAGAAAGCATGGCTTGTCATGACAAGAATGTTGTGAGTACAGTATTAACAGCAGAATAGCAGATAAAATTAGAGGTGGTGGTTAGCTTGTTGGCCATCGGTCGATTGAGAATAGCAGGACGGCATGATCATTGCAGGTTTTCTTGAAAACAAGATGAGAATGTGTTTAAGGTGCAAATTGTCGGAAAAGGAGTAGTAGGACTAGGATATAGACAAATGAAAGAAGATGAAAGTTGGAAATATACTGTCTGTCCAGGGAGCTCTCATCATTCTGTCAAAGATAAATATCCTCACTTTGATATTGAATGTGATTCCACTCCACACCTCAAATCATGCCAACATCCACAGTCCCAGGATTGATTGGGTTATTGAGGGGGCGTTTATTCAAATTAGAAGGGGGCGCTTATTCGATAGGAGGGCTTATTCAAACGGGGCGCTTATTCGCGCGAGTACGGTACACTGATGAGTGAGATGTAAATGCAATATTACACTCTGATTTGACATGTTATTGTTTACTACCACGCGATTAAATCACGTGAGAAAAACCACGTGATATAGCGCTTGACAGAAACTTTCATTGATACACGTACAGTGAGCTGACCTGGATTTGCCTTCGTTATACAACATGGTGTTTCGAAGAATTTCGCTCTTTTACGGCCTTATTGGATGTGTATCTGCACACATCTGTATGCTAAGCCCTCCACAAAGAGGATCCATGATCGGCATCAATAAGCAAGGTTTGTTTTATAGAAGACAGAGCTTGTATATTTAGTAATGTAGGCCGATCGGCCTTTCTTCTTTAGTTGCCTAGCTGGTACCGGGCCAGGCCTGACCGACCCACTTCTGCCACACTTACGTAACTTTGCACGCACCATCATTAGAAAAAGAGGACACTGTGTTTTGTATATAGGCAGGGAATTAATAGATTGATAGAGATCTTTTAAAGCGCTCAATTACATCATTTATATCAATATTCTTAGATAAGATTACAATGTAACGAGTTTCAAATGACTAGGGCTACTACTGTATATAGGCCTAGTATAACCAGGGAGTTGTTATAGTGATCACTATACGAACTCCACTATAACAACTCCCTGGCAGTGGTATAACTAAACCCGGTGGCAATTCTAACTGCACGGGTACTGCATGCTTAAATAGGCGTATTGGTTTTTTAAAAAATAATTATCTTGAAATGAAAGTTGGAATTTGTTTTTCAGGAGCAACTGATTGCATATTATTGGATGGACCATGTGGAGGCCGACCTCCTGTGTCTCCACCACAGTATGGAGCCAAGTAAGACCTGTCTCTTATACACATCTAATGCATGGATGGATGATTGTTTATAATGAATACACTGTTAATTCTGAGGAGTTATTGTAACTCCCCCTGTGGGGTAGTTATAATCCCCAAAGGGGGAGTTATTTTAACTCCTTAAATGGTATTAAAGTAACTCCTTAGGGGAGTAAACCTTAAGTTTACTCTCATTTCACTCCAAACTTATACAAGGTTATAATGTTGGAGTAATTTTTATTCCAGTATTGGGTTGCTGGAGTTAAATTAACTTCATGTTTAGAGTAAAACAAGCAGAGTTAAAATAACCCATCCACAGAGAGAGTGAAATTGATCCTATCGCATGAATAGCAGAGTTAAATTAACCCATCCACAGAGAGCAAAGTTGATCCTATCGCAATGCATAATGGCAGAGTTAAAATAACCCATCTATCAGAGAGTTAAATTGATCCTATCACAAAGCATTATGGGAGAGCCCGCGTTATTCGAGAAAAAAGTTTAGTGTCGCCATGATTTTCTGTGTCTCGATGTTGAAAGAAAATGAAGAGTTTAATTGATTTTTTTCGTTTTTTATTGGAATGTGTTTGAAGGTATGTACAATAACATAGTATTCTTCCTGTCTCTTATACACATCTAGATGTGTATAAGAGACAGTTATTCGTTTATTCGATAGGGGCGCTTATTCAAACGGGGCGCTTATTCGCGCGAGTACGGTACACTGATGAGTGAGATGTAAATGCAATATCACACTCTGATTTGACATGTTATTGTTTACTACCACGCGATTAAATCACGTGAGAAAAACCACGTGATATAGCGCTTGACAGAAACTTTCATTGATACACGTACACAGATTTATAGTGAGCTGACCTGGATTTGCCTTGTTATACAACATGGTGTTTCGAAGAATTTCGCTCTTTTACGGCCTTATTGGATGTGTATCTGCACACATCTGTATGCTAAGCCCTCCACAAAGAGGATCCATGATCGGCATTAATAAGCAAGGTTTGTTTTATAGAAGACAGAGCTGGTATATTTAGTAATGTAGGCCGATCGGCCTTTCTTTAGTTGCCTAGCTGGTACCGGGCCAGGCCTGACCGACCCACTTCTGCCACACTTACGTAACTTTGCACGCACCATCATTAGAAAAAGAGGACATTGTAATAGATTGATAGAGATCTTTTAAAGCGCTCAATTACATCATTTATATCAATATTCTTAGATAACATAACAATGTAACGAGTTTTAAATGACTAGGCCTACTACTACTGTATATAGGCCTAGTATAACCGGGTTGTTACAGTGATCACTATAACAACTCCCTGGCAGTGGTATAACTAAACCCGGTGGCAATCTAACTGCACGGGTAGTGCATGCTTAAGTACGTATAGGCCTATTGGGTTTTTTTTTAAAATAATTATCTTGAAATGAAAGTTGGAATTTGTTTTTCAGGAGCAACTGATTGCATATTATTGGATGGACCATGTGGAGGCCGACCTCCTGTGTCTCCACCACAGTATGGAGCCAAGTAAGACTATATTATTTTTTATGGTCTTTGTGGTTGTTTTTTTTTTAAATAAAAGGTCATCAATAACATTGAAATATAAATGGTAATTGAAAGTTATAAAAAAAATTTAATACTTAGTGTTTTGCTGCAATATTAATTTTTATATATTGGCCTATTTTGAAAATTGATTCAGTGATTTAGTTAGGCCTATGTGTTTATGTTTTTAAAATAATGTTCCCATTAAAATTGTTATCTGATTAACCTTAGTAAATTGTGTTTGTAAATTTTCTTTACAATTACCCTCTGAACTTGAAGACTGCTGCAGGTCCCAATTCTCTTGCGAGAGTCAAGAGTCCCATACTCCAACAAGCAAGCAATATCATCATCTGGAAACCACGCATTGAATCCATGATGTCTGCATACTGTATTTTTACTAGGCCCAACTTAGTTGACTTAATTGTTACCCTGACTCAGGGTAACCTGGCTACGGTTATCACCACACACAGCAAAATATAATTACAGAGTGTGGGGGTTACAGGGCAGGGGGAACCAACTTAGACCAAAAAAGAGAAAAAAAATTCAAAAATGCTCAACAAAATTTGTGAACTTTAATAATAATTTTTAAAGAAGAACAGCTGCAACGTGGTGTTATGTTACAGTACGTGTTTCAGTGCGTGCAACAGATTTTTTGCTTTTCACATGCGAAATGTAATGCGAATGATAATAACAATTCTTTCAGATCAGGTGGTAATTACACCCTTTCATTCCAAAAGAATCTAGATCATTGGACTGCAGCCACCCCAGTAAGTATCATGCTTTGATTTTGCTTCTATTCTTGGCTACTTACTATAGTGTAGGCTTGGTGAGGGCTGGACTGGGATGTGTTGGGCAGCCAATTAGTTCCAAGTGGGTTAAAATTACTAAAGATTACCATTACTGCAAGTTTTCACTGGAATAGGGATTTAGTTCCATATGGGATAGTTCTGCATTCTAATTTTTCACACCCCTACCCTGCCCAAACCAGCATACATCCCTGACATTATAGGATTTTCACAAAATCGCCAGTTTTGTTTTTGTTTACCTGATAACCATGCCTTCTGCGACCATTGTGCTTCAACAGTCATCCAATGTTTGATATTGAATGTCTACAGGCAACAACCTAATATAGATTAATTGCAGGAAATATTGGAAAGCATAAAACATGTTGATTGTAGAACGCATTCAAGTAGTTACATAATTTTTCTTCTAAGCCAAAATGGTTTTTGAAAAAAGGTTTATACAGCAACAGGCCGATAGTGGAAATAACAACTGAAACAATGGCTGTATTTGACTGGTTGTTCTTCTTCGTAGGTAAAATCCTACTTAACGAAGATGACCAGTCAAATAGAAAACTGGTAAATACTTGACAAAACAAAATGGCTGCATAGTTACCGAAATACATGCTGTGTAATGGAGGCTGCTTCGGATTGTAGCAGTATGGGTTTTTCGTAAAAAAATGTTTTCATTCAGTTTTTGAATGCTGTTAGCCTACACTTATTTTTTGACTTCAATGTGGGTAAATATTTTAATTTTTTTTCCCTGAAATTTAATCTAAATTATATTAACGCAAATGTTGTTGCTAAACTGACCAATCAGCCATATTTTTGTGTGCATAACTTAACTTTACGCAAAACTTATGTTAATTTTCTTTGTCAATGAAGTCTATTTTACGAACCAGTTGAACGAAAATAATACTCAACGAAAATTCCTACTCAACAAAATAAACCAGTCGAATAAGCCCAATGCTATAAAATGTTTATTTATAGGGCCAGTTTAGAGTGCTGTTTAGTAGTAGTGATCCAATGGATTTCAAAGTCCTGGCTAAAATTGCTGACATGGGTGAGCCGTCTTTAACTATATACACAGTTAATGTTACCATGCCAACCAGGTAAGCAAAATACCATTGTCTTTTTTACCTTTTTTTTCTATTTAGAGTTTTTAAACCAGGTTTCATTGCATTGTAATGTATTATATATTTTATATTATATTTTAAAAAAGTTATATTTTATTCTACCTGTTATTGATCATAAATATTCCTTCTCCTCAGACCACCAAACACCCCAGTTACAATTCAGGTAGGTGGTATTCTGGCCACACTCAATTTTGTATAACAAATACTACCAAATATGGGTGTGATACGACAACATCATGCCCATATAGTGGCTACTCGCAGAGCATTTGAAAGTAGCCACACAAATTCACAGTCACAATCACAAATTACAGCAATCATCATTATATTCATTATGATCACATTCTACTATCACAATAAATCACAATCATGTTTATTCATGATCACATTCCCCAAGTTTGGAACCCACAAAAATTATTCAGTCTTAATTAGACACAATCAGCAGTGGCATATCTACCGGGCGTGTGTGGGAGACCCATGACCTTCTGATAAAAACTTAGCTCCCCCGTTACCCCCACCCCCACCACCACTGGAAATTTGCTACCAATACCATGTGATTTTTTTTTGCTGATATGTCTTTGCTTTTGTAAATATGGCAATCATGAGTTCACAATAAACCACAATCCTAGTCACTATTCATGATCACATTCCCCAAGATTGCAAACCACAAAAAATATCCAGTCTTAATAAGACACAATCAGCATTGGCGTATCTACCAGGTTTGTTTGGGAGACCCATGACCTCCTGAAAAAACTTTTCTCCCTTAGTACCCCCTCCCACCCCCACCCACCACTGGAAATTCGCTACCAGTGCTATGTGCTTATTTTGCTGATTGTGCCTTTGCTTTCATAAACATGGCAATTATAAGTTCAAATACATTACTTTAAACAATTGTCATCTTTCTTCTGTCTGTACTGGAAAATGATACAAGATTATTTTTTATGTAGGTAGTATATTAAATGGATTTGTTAGGCAATTGCTAATTTATAATTTTTGTTTTCACTTTTAGGTTGTTTATGAAACTAACAACCCCAATGCACCACCAGCATTCTATCAGTGCAGTGATGTTATGCTTTTTTGAATACTGGTAATCAAAATAGAAAATCTACATTAACTCTCTTAGAAGTATCTAATACAATTGGTTAAACTGTATCCAATTATACACATAGTTTAATTATATTTTGGGATACATTGTAAGTAATTAAACAAGATTTAACAAAAATAAAAATTGAGTTCTCTTTAATATGCTGTTGATTGATGGAAAATAGAAAAGAATAACGTAGCAAAATGAAAATGAGTTGTTTGCTTATAATTTTAACAAACGGATTTGTTAGGCAATTGCTAATTTGTTAGTGATGGAAAATAGAAAAGAGTATATGGTAGCATAAATGAAAAGGAATGTTTTTTTTTTTAATAATGCCTCAAGCACCCCAATAATAAGCCTTGTTAAATATGTTGTAAATAGTAAAAAATTTCAGTGATATTGTAATAAATATGATAATTGTGAATTTTGTAGAACATAATAATAATGGTCTCTATGCAAGGCCGAAGCCAGGTTTTGTAAAGGTGGGGGGGGGGGTTTCGATTTTTTTCAGAAAAATCGTGAATTTTAGTACAGTAATTATGTTATGAAGAATGGTTGATGGGGAAATATGCAAATCCAAATTTGACAAGCAAAAAAAAAAAAAAACCAACAACAACATAATACTATTTTAGACTCATTCAATATCATCAATATTGGATTTTTTTATGGTGAATTTACAGTTTTTCTTATAGACCAGCTGCCTTTAAAAAAATGTATTCTATCACCAATGGCAGTTGTTACAAAGTACTAATTTTCATGACCTCGATCCTTAGATACCCAGAAATGTCACTAGAAATTTTTACATACACTTTCAAAAAGGGATTTATTCGAACCTTTCAAACTGGCTACAGGCCTGCTATGCACTAAAGCACTACCATTCAGTTTTTAACAATTGATTATTCATAAAAAGAAGTGAGTCAAGCCTTTCCTTTTCTAGTAAATATATTAACAGTACTAGTTGTCTACAAAGTTAATACTTTAATATTTTGTATTAAACTATTAATAATTTAATGTTGAAACAGATATGTGTGGACATTTAAACCAAATAACAGAAAAAAAGGAAAGCTATTGTTATTGATATTGCACAAAGACTGTTTTAATGAAACATACAACAGAGGATAATACAATTTCCGAATTATACAGTACTGTAGTCTCCTAAAACAGAACTTAGTTTCAACCTTTTTGTAATAGAGAACATTATATTATGATATATACAGAAAGAGTAAAAAGCAATGTATCAATATGTTGTCAACTCACTATGTGCGCTGCAAATAAATCATTTGGTTGTACGTTGTACTACTTGAATGAGACTACTGTTATAAATCATTCCTTTTATTAGTAATAAACAAGATTAATACAAGTTAAAGCCAGGTGCTCTGGAGGAAAATCAACTGATTTTACTAAGACATAAAAAGCATATTTGACGAAAAACTCGGAAGCGTTTAAAGATTTTTGAATATTTAAAAACTAGAGGAAAAAGGATGGTTAAGCCAATCCCTTCCCAGTTTTTGAATATTCAAAAATATATATATCATTAACTGCTTCTCAGATTTTCGTCAAATAAAGTAAAATAGAAGCCCAATGGGTTTCGAAAAGAAACCCATGGGCTTTCTTTAGCATAGCATGGGCTTTTTTTCCGAGATAGTACAGTATATACACGGTACGTGAATTTCTAAGATACAACATAAAAGTCCGTGGCTTCAATTCGAGGCTTTACGGTATGCTTTTTGTGTCTTAGAAAAGTCAGTTTTACAAGATATAAAAAAAAAAAAATATTTCCTCCGGAGCATGGCTTTATTAACTACTGTACACTTTGTTGACCAGATTAAAAAAATTGAACTCTGTTAACTAGGTTAATAAACATTTGCATATACTGTAAAATTAATATCAGTCATTAATACAGGTTTCAATCCTCTTAATAACTAGATATTTTTAATTTAATACTAAACTTTATTTACAAATTCTTGGTAAAACATCAGCAAATACCCCAATACCAAGCAGATAAATCTATACAGTATTCTATAAGCTTAAGTTAATTAAATGTGTTCAGTTCATTAATCACGATTCAGTCTTAATAATAATGTGTTAATTATATTTATTGTGTACAACATTTATCAAGACTATTATATACTTTTAAATATAATGGTCATAATGTGGTTTCAACTAAGAATACTACATTCATTAATCAGGATTCAGTCTTCATTAATGTCTTAATTATATTTATTGTGTACAACATTTATCAAGACTATTATATACTTTTAAATATAATGGCCATAATGTGGTTTTAACCAAGAATACTACATTCTCCATGAAGCCTTGCTCAATGGAGCTGTCCGGAGGGTCAATCAAACTTATCAACTGATTAATCAGAACAGGGCCAGGGATACGAACACCTGCGATGAGGATCATCCCGGTTACTGATCCGTTACGCGGAGTTTGCACTAACACCGTTTACACGGAACACCTATATCAACGGATAAACGCGTTCATCACGGTAAACTCCTGCCGTGTAAACAAGCGTGGGACCTTAGCAACAATATCCAAGGGGCGGGGCTTAGCGGAAAGGTCTATTGGGATTTGTCCGATTTTATAACTTGCCCCACAGTGCCATCAACAACACGCATCCGCAGTGGAACCATCTGTTTCTTTGCTCTATGGTGGAACCAAAAACACGGAGTGTAAAAAATTAATAACTGACAAATCAGAACAGTGTGCACATCCCACAAGTACTTGGGTTGTTTTGTGGGTTAGTATAAAGTTACGATGGAAGCATGTGTACTATTTCTAGTCTTCCAGCTTTGAACGAAATAGGGCCTATACTTGTTATTGAAGAAGAGTCACTCCAGACAATTTGAACTTCCGTAACAGTAATTTCCAATAGGCCTCAGTCAGTTGTCGTATGGTCCAATGCGTTAACGGAAAACAAAACGACTAATCAATAGTTAAATGCTGGCTTCTCTGTGGTATCGCTTTTCAGATCAAAGTCATTTTTATTGTCCCTAACGGTAGTATCGTCTTTTTGCTTCCCCTGAAAATAGAAATATTATTAATGCGGTTACTGATATACTATTAGTAACAAAGACAAAAAGAATGAACACAAATCCACATTAATGTACTGTGCCGTCAGTAAATACGATTATTTTTTGTAGGCCTACACTTACTGTAGTCTTTGTTGGCCAAAGTCTGCAAGTAATAGCCGCCATTATTATCACAAATACCATCTCTATGAAAGCTACAAATAAAATCAAGATTTCCAGTGCAAGGCGCTCTGATTTCTGAAATGCAATAAGATTCGGGATTTTTAATTATACTATATTTGATTAAAAGTGGCACAACTTACCATCGTCATTACTGTCACCGTCATAACGTTATAATCATCATGATCATAACCATCATGTTAATCGTCATCGTCATCATATTCATCATTATTTAACAAGATCAATCGTATCATCATGACGGGTTGAAACACACCAGTAATGACTATTAGGCATTAATTACCAACTTACATTGCACTTGATAACGTGACAAAGGTGGCCCAACATACTTACTGAGAACCCGTCTTCGTTACTAGCTTTTATTTGATGAAAATATAGTTCATAACGAAGTGATTGCTCCGTAGATAAACCACTCCGGTCATCGAAACATTCCATTCGCATAGCAAATGCTACAATCGCCATTAATTGAAGTGATGCAAACGCTGATAGTATGGACATGACGAGGTAACTCACAACCTGGAGGTAAAATAAAACGCAATATAATATAGCATAGGACCGAGGGATGGAGGGAGGTAAAATTTCTTCTCTGGTCCCCTCTATTTTGAATTTCCTGGATCCGCCACTAGGCCTATATAGGACTAATTATACGATTTACTTGACGACGTCACAGAAAGGTTCATTAATAATAGTTATAATTGTAAGTGTTTGATAAGTTTGTAGGATTTTAAGCCAGGACTGAGCTCAAAATGTCACAAACTGTTAGTAGAAACACACTATTAAGTATAACACTATAAGTAGAAATCCTCACCAATCCGTGCTTTTGAAATCTCCAAGTTAGTACGCCCAGTAATCCTGTTACTACATAAAACTAGAAAACAAAAATAATATTTTAAAATTAATTTTTATTGTTTTTCTGATTAAATCATTTTCTATAAAGGACTTACAAATTTGCTTATAGCTACGGTCAATTTTGAAACAATAATGTACGTACCAGCAATCCGGTCCAAATTGGGTCACCAGTGTGATACGCAGGTATTTTGATGACGATTGCGGCTATACCAAGACTTATACAAATGATACCGAAAATCAATTGCATAATGGACGCATTTAGGATGATGCATACTAGACTGACGCTACCATCATCCGCTGTAGACAAAAAATGATTTTAAAAAATAGTTGGAATTTAGTAAATCTGAACTAAAAATGTGTGCTTTATTGCAGAATCAATAGGCCTATTAATAAAAATTTTAAAAAAGAGCAAGATCGGATACACCTTGGTAATATTCGGTAAAATTCAAAGGTGTTCGTTATACAAAGGATATAAGGAAGGTGAGATGGTAGTATTCCAATCAAAATTGTGAACAGAAGGGGAAAGCGATTTTGGAATGAAATAAACACGGGAATAAGCAATACAAAACATGCGGAATAACGGCGGGGGAAAAATCGATTACCGGGTAAAATTCAGTTTTGAATAATTCGAGCAAGAAAATGGGGTCAAATAGACGCTACTACCAGAAAAAAAAAATCAAAACGACGGGTATGATAAAATAATAATTCTAAATTTATATAGTGTTTCACGTTGTCACAACCTCGAGGAGATAACAACAACATAGAAGAAAATAAACCATAAACAAATGTACTGAATGTAGTCAAAAGTGCCCTTCGACAGTGCAGACGTCATTCGATTACCCTGAAGTCCTACCTTTTAGGAAATGTATTAACTTCCCTGGTAATATAATAGGCATGATGTGATCTGGTTTACTCTCTGAGAAAAATGATTCATTATCAATTTATTTTATAAATTAAATAACCGTCAAATGTTTTAACGTTTCCTGATAATCGCAAACTAAATACCGTACTGTATACTTCAAGGCCTATGTTACTGAAGGTTACATCATGTGGTATTCTAGAGAAGTCGCTACCAAGTGTAGACTGAGTTATGTAGGATAAGAGCTACAATATTGCGTTAGGCCTTTTCCAGACTATAAAATTATATTTGACAAAAAACATGTGACATGCCTAAATATAGTCATGGTGACGTCACATCATGACCATATATAGACACATTCTAAATATGTGGGTACAGCAGTTTCTTGTCGAAGAAAACCTGATCTGAACAGAGCTTTAGAAATTAAACAAATTATTTTTCTAGACCTCGACATAATGAAACGATGTAATAAAACTATTATATAGTAATAATGATATATAATATCAGTTCTGGAATCGTCCTAAGTGTTAATTAGGCCTATCATATATTTTCTGAAGTTGAATGTTCATCAGGGTATGGGTCCCGGGTGTGTCTATTCGACCACAAAAGCTCAAAGAAATGTTACAAAATTTGGATCTCCCTCCAACTGTTGTACAGCGAATTAAAGTAAAATATAAAATTAGAGATGAAGGTACCATACCATACGGTACTATCTATATTTATTTATTTATTGGTGATTACTAAACATTTACAAAATTAGGCCTTCCTAATGAATGTTTCATTAAAATAAAAAGGTGAATGTGAAGTGTACATCAATAACTGCTTTCAATGACAAACTGTGCAATACTTATTAGTTAAATCTAACAGGATTAACAGTATCTATTGCCATATGGTGCAATTTTGTTAATCAACAGATAATGTACCGATGCTCTTGAACACAAAAAATGGCCAAAATTAGGGGGTGGACAAAGCCTAAATAAACCAATGTTGTGTTATTTTACATAAAGAAACCAAAGGATCCACAGACTACTCGCAAATAGAATATGAGTATGATGACTGTGAAGAATGACAAACATTAGCCTGTAATCGATACTACGTTTCATTCTGTATATAACATTGTCAAGAAAGAAAGAAATTTGTCATTACATTTTTGTATAAAAATATCATTCTGTAGATGTGTATAAGAGACAGGTCCAACTACGCATGCCCATGAGTGTGAAAAGAATTACTGTAAATGCTTAATCGGATCTGAATTCCTGGCAACAAAGCCCAGTGGCCCAATTGGTTAAGGCTTCTGCTTAGACAGCAGAAGGTCCTGAGTTGGAGCCCGTGGAGGACGACCTATTTTTTTTACCAATGATCTAAGTAGCCAAGTGATATACACTCTTGGATTTTGCCATCCATGACATGTTTTTTCTCGCAACTTCTATGTTAAATCGTAATCATATCACTTCGAAATTTTTAAACCTGACAATCAAGCCTCAATCTGTAGGTCTCAGTCATATTTACATTAATAATATCATTGTTCAAACTATCATAAAACTCTGTTCATACGTCATTGTCTTTTCCACTACTGATGCAAATCTTACACAAAGGTTCCACCATGCAGTGCGCCTCGCATCGGATGACGGATTTATCGAGAATTCGAATCACCACCTGAAACTTTGATGAGCTTTTTACTGTATGGATCTTCGTGCGAGACAGCAATTTGAAATCTACAATATAGAACACAATACAAATTTAGAATACAACAAATGAAATTGTATTTCAGATTCAATAAATTATTGTAGGTAACTACTTGAACATTTTTGTTAGACAAAACGCACATATAATTCACTTCTAATCGGATAATATTTTTGGTCGGTAAAATTTCAGTTTGGCAAACTGAGTTTCGGCAAAGTGGACTCAGCAATCTGGGATTCGGCAAACCGGGTTTCGGCAAAAACTTATTACCTGTGGTTAGTGGATCCATGATTGACTCAGATTGCTGAGTAGTCAGTGTTTGTGTGATTTTATGTGGTAGTGTAGTCGACTCTGGTTGCACGGTTGTCTGTAGTAGCATGGTTGTTTGTGGTTGCTTTGTTGTCTGTGTTTGTATCGTAGAGTGTAGTTTCATAGTTGTCTTTATTTGCATGGCAGTTTCTGGTTGCGTGGTTGCCTGTGGTTGTATACCCGCTAGTTTATTGAAGTAATCAATTGGGTATTCTTCATTACACATGTCAACAGAGCAACAGTAGTAACATTTTGACGGATTTATTGACGGATGACAATTTTGGGAGTTTCGTGATTCACTCTCAAAACACACGCGGTCTGCCTTACACGATTTCGTCACTGTATGTCGCCCATTCTCGTCAATTATCGTGCTTTGACATATCTAAAGCATGTGGAATACAAAATAAAATACTCGAGAATCTCCAACATAATATAACTGATGATCATAATACTGTAATATTATGATCATTGTCATCATCATCATCATCATCATCATCATCATCATCATCATCATCATCATCATCATCATCATCACTATTCTCACCATCGTCGTCTAACATAATAATAGTAATAGCCTAGTAATAATAATAATAATAATAATAATAATAATAATAATAATAATCATAATCATAATCATAATCATAACCATAATCATAAAATCAACAGCCGCAGAAACAACAACGATAATAACAATAACAATATCAATAACAATGCGGCTTTTGCCACTAAGGCTTGAAAAGAACGGAAAAAAGTAGGCATAACAGAAAACCATGTTTGGAATTTCAGTAGGCGGGGTCCTCGAGCCCGAATTCAGGAAATCTGATCAGCTATTCGTGAACAAATATCTGCTTTGCGAGAGGTAATTGGTAGGCCTATAATGATCGGAAGCGTGATTTGAAGAGATGAGACTTCAAACTAGATTTAAATGATGGTAAACTAATAATTAGTAATTATAATTACTTCCGAAAATGCCGGCCACGACGTGTAAGGAACTATATCATTCTGTCTTGTCACCCTCCCATCTTTTCAGATCAGATTCAGATAGTCGTTGTACCATTATTATAATTATAATTACTTCCGAGAAGCCGCTTACTGTGGCGGCTTTTGCCAGTGTGAGTATGGGGTGGATCAATATATATGCAGGAGGATGTACAGAAAAAAGCGCACTCCAGCTTAAATGATGTGGGCAACTATATTCTGTCTTTTTACCCTTCCATCTTTTGAGGGACTTATGTAACTTAAAAATCAAACATAAGAATGTTGGATTAGCTTTGAATAAAAATTTCACAATATACCTGCTGGCTATTTACTACCATATGTATAACCTGTTTTTTTTTCCCACTGAAACAAGCACTAATATCGCCAACACTCATCCTTCTGTAAAGAACAATTGTGAGCTTATATATAGTTTTGTTTATAATTTTGACGAAAGCAGGCAAGATATTGTCAAAGAATATAGAAAAAAACTTGATTAAAACAGTATACATGCTAAAATGTTGTGATAGATGTAGACATTTAGTGTACATACGCTATTGTATCTGTCGCACTCTCTGAAGTACGTATTACTCTTGTAATTTGAATAAATGAATTCTCGTATGTGTTGCTTTTATCATAGAGAAAACAGAATTTTTTTAGTGTAAAAAGTCCTCTTCCAATATTTTGTATATACGTCTTAGCGTAAAAGTCTTTTTTCCCCGATAGTTTAATTGACATAAATAGAAACTAAAAAAAGTGGGGGAAAATGTAGCTGTTAGTGAATAGCCAGAAGCTTTTTTGTGTGGCTTTACTACTGTGTTATTATATACTTTGAAGTGACAATGTCTCCCGAAAGATAGGAGGGTGACAAGACATGAGATGGGTTTGCACGTTATTATAAATGCGTTATAGGCCTATGTTTTCAGTACAGTGTAAGTTTAGGTGTGTCTCTGTGTGTGTGTCACGTTTTGGTGTTTTCGTGTGTTTTTTTTTGTGTACGACATATCTCAAAATCAGCTGCACAGACATAATTGAAAATTACAGGGAGTGTTAGGTATAACCCAATGAAGAAATGATTAAATATTGGTGACGGTCCAGAGTAGGGTGTGGATGTGAGAACAATTTAAATGGATTTTAGAGCAAACATCCCTAGCAAGATATCTCAAAAACTAATCAACTGATATAAATGAAACTTTCGTGTTTAACCAAGTTACAAGGAAGAAATTGTGAGGTGTTTGGTTATGATCCAAATTCCGGGGGGGGGGGGGTGAACTTGAGGGTCATTTAAATTTTTAAAACTATAATCAACTGATATGAGTGAAACCTTCGTGAAAGCTTAACCAAGGTACAAGGAAGAAATTATGAAGTGTTCTTGACGATCCAAATTCGACTGTGCATTTGAGGGCCAAAAGGTCCCAGAACTAAATATCTCGAAAATGGGTCAAGGGATAAAAATGACAATTGGCAGAATAGTTTGTCATATTTTAATAAAGAAGTGTGTCAATTCTGGCACGATCCGATGTAGGATGTAGATATAAGGACCATTTAAAGAATAAGTTTACTGTTTTACCGTAGGCAGAGAAACAATGATGAATATTTAAATTAGTGCAATTACAGTAAAGGTGTACAGCGTTCACTTTCTTCAGAACTTATTGGGAATATTGTTAATTCATCTTTACATTTTTAAACATGTGACGCTAAAAACCAAATTCCCATTTTTCTATTTCCAAAATATTTCCATTTCAACACTAATACATTGCGTGTATTTTGTTTGTCAGCTATAAGAATTAAACTTGCCAGTTAGTTATGTCAGAAATTTTCAGGTTTACAACTAATACGATACGATATAAGGTGTTCAAAAAGTGAAGTGATGATATTTTGGTGTTGAAAGAATGGACCATTCAAAGTAAAACGTCACAGATCAGATATCTCAAAACTAAACTACTCATTTAATGAAACGTTTGAGAATAAATTTATTATCATCAATAATTTAAACTGGTAACGTTATTGTATTATCATTTTATTATACAGTACCAAATTATTGTTACACGTTTCATTATGGCCTCCAGCGTTGCATGCATCGTTTGT